CGGCTTTGCTGCCGCCTGCCGCCGCCGCAGGGGTGCTGCCTGCGGCGGCGGCGGTAGCGCACGTGGCAACCCCCCGCGTTTCCTTGCCTCCCATCCACCGGACCCCGTCCTGCGCTTCACTTTTGTTTAGGGAGGGGCTGCTCACTGCTCATTGCTCATTGCTCATCGCACACTGCTCAACGCTCATTGCCCTATATCCCACCCAGCCGCAGGACTCCACTGCCGCCCGCGCCCCGCCCCATCTGGCCGCTTGCGCGCCCCATCCCCCCTCGATGGGGCCCGCCCACACCGGGGCCTCCCCCCTCCCGCCCACTGCTTTCTCAACGGCCCCGAGCCGGGGCTGCCCTCATTGCATACATAGTGCGCCTTTCCCTGCTTTTCTAGTGACCTAGCGTTCCGCACTGCCGTTTGGCCAGCCCATGCTCCCGTACCGTTGCGTTTCTCCCCAATGCGCCATGCCACTTTGCCAGTCATACACACGTTTCGATGCGTGCCCTGTCAGCTGCTTGCGTTGCATGTCGCCTTGCTCCACCCCTGTTTTATTGCTTTCTCTGCTTTCGCCCGGTTCCCGTCCCGTTTCGGCGGGGAGTCTATGTTGCAAGCTAGTTCTTGCTTTACCAGACTTTAAGCCCACACAAGCAACCCACTCTGCAGCGAGGATGTGGCGGACACAGCGGCAGCACAAAAATAGTTCAGAGGGGGCAACAGCCGATGAGAGATCGCAGGATTCGGATTACGTGCCGTCCTCTGGTGAGGAGGACGAGGATGACGGGCAGTCAGGCCTGGAACGGGAGGCCGGGTCAACTCACGGGCGGGCAACCGCCGCCAACATAGCGCAATTCAGCAACAAGCCACTTAATGAGATTTTGGACTGCCTGCGGCGCTTCAAGGTCCGCATCCCTTCGCTGTCGGCCAGGCAGATGCAGTCTGCGGGCTGATGGCATCTGATCCAGTTGTATTTGCATGATGCTCCATTGGTATCTGCCTGACCGCACCAGAAAGCCGACTCGCTGCACTGCGGATCACTGCCGCAGGAGCAGGCACCTGCCAACCTCGCCGGCCAGAAGAGCAGGTTCAGCCAGCCGCCCAAGGCTCACATGCCGGAGCCCGAGAGCTGGGATGGCTGGCGCTCGGTGCGGTGCCAGATCCGCGGCCACAATTTCTTTCACCCCGTGCTGACAGCCAACACCAGGCTGGGATGCAGCTCGACACATGACGAGCTGGCAGCCAGGCTGTCCGAGGAGGAGGCGCAAGCGTTGCACCGAGCCATGTTTGCCAAGCCCGTTCAAATCAGCTGCAAGAATGCAGCCATGCTGCTTGAGCTTGCCAGCAAAGTGGCTTATGCCCCGCTGAAGCAGGCCGTCCGCACATTCTACGGGAGGCTGGCGGTGACTGCGGAGCGCGCCAACGCTCCGCGCCGCGCGCGGGCGCAGCGTGCTTTAGACAAGGTGGAGCAGGGCGCACGCGAGCGCTCTACAAAGCAAAGGACGCGGCAATCCAAAAGCGCGATGGAGAGCAGGCAGCCGCGGAGCAGAAGTATGCCGCAGCAGTGGCGGCGGCGGCACAGAAGCGCGACACGGCGGTGGCAGAGGCCCGCCACAAGTGCAATGCAACGGTGGCAGCTGCCACCACAAAGCGCCAGGGGTCGGTGGCTGTCGCCAAGCGCAAGTACGAGGAGGCGGTGCCGTTCCGTTTCTGAGCAGGAGCTGCACTGGCTCATTCGTGTTGCTGTCTTGCGTGCACTCCGTACCGCCCTGCCAAGTTAACATGCCACTCAGTGGCAGCGCCCCGACTGGACTGAATAGCTGTAAACAGAACAACTGACAGCAGGCCATCACACATGCGGGGCCATGGCTGCAATCTCCTAAGCTTTGGGGGGGAAGCTTCACACAAATTTGTCCAGCTTGGCAGTGACCACCCGCCCCTCCAGCTCCGAGCCGTTGAGCAGCTGGATGGCGGCCTGCGCGTCGCTGGGCGTGGCAAAGGACACAGTGCCCCAGCCCTTGCTGCTGCCGTCGGGGTTGGTCACGATGTCGGCACGTACCACCGCTCCGGCGGGCCTGCGGGAGGCAGGCGCATGGAGTCTGGCGCGGGCGGGGCCTCCCTCCCTGGACAGCCGAGCTGCTAGCTGCTGGAGGCCTCCCGGGCAGCGGAAGCAGGGGCCGGCTGCTGAACAGAAGCAGGCGGCCGGGCAGGATCAGGCAGCAATCCCTTCAGCAATGCGCAGGGGCAACCCACTTGCACATGTCCTTCAGGTCCTGCCAGGAGGTGCGGTACGGCAGGCCGTGCACCACGATCTGAGTGCCGGGCTGCAGCCAGGGGGTGGTGCGGTGCGCAGGTGAGGACGGGTCAGGGGTAAGGGCAGGGCAGGCAGGGGAGCAGAGGGTAGAGCAGAGGAGGAAGCAGGCAAGACAGCGCAGCGAGGCAGCTGTGCTGCATGGCACGGCTCCCTCCCGCGCTCACCGCTGCGCTAGAACCGGGGCGACCGCCCGAGCCGCCGCCCGCCGCCACCACGTGCCGCTGCTGCTCGTAGCCGCCGCCGCCGCCTCCCAGCGAGGTGCTGGGGTCCTCACGATCCTCCCTCACCTGCGGTCCGGGGGCGCAGGCATAGGGCAGCAACCATGCGGCGGCTCAGCAGCAGGGCAGCGCAGGGGAGCGGGCACAGCACACAGCAGGGTGCCTGGCCTCAACCAGCCAAAAAGCCGCAGCAGCGCACAGCCAGCGTCTTGCGGGCAGGCTGTGCCTGCTGCTATGGCGGGTGGGGCAAGCCGCACTGTCTGTGGAAGCTGCGCCGGCTGTGTCGCTGTGCAGTCAACTGCGGCAGCGGCGGTGGCGGCTCACGTGGATCTGCCTGCCCCCCAGCTGGGAGTTGGAGAGGACAGAGATGGCGTGCAGCGCATCCTGCGGCCGCTCATACTCCACGATGCCGGAGCCCTTGCTGTTGCCCTCCGCATCCTGCGCAGGCGGCGGCAGCAGGTGCCGAGCGCCGAGGCGAGAGGATGGGCGGCGCTGGCACCAGGGTGGTGGTTGGGGTATGCTTCGAGCACCAGCAACCACACAGGCGCAGAGCAGGCCAGCTTGCCAGCTATGTGTTGGCACAGATCGTGAGCATGCGGCTCAGGTGCGATGCCCCCTCCTCTGCTGCCCACCTCCAGAATGTCGGCATGCAGGACGCGGCCGGCCTGCTTGAAGTGGTCCTTGAGTTCCTGCGGGTGGCACGGGCAGCACATGCATGCGTTGGTGGCTACTTGGCGGCACACCCATCCATGCATGGGTGTCGCTGGGGGGTTCGCCTGAGCAGCCGGGCGGGCAAGGCTCTCAGGCAAACTCGGCGAGGGAACAGCAGCCCCCTGGTTCATACATGCATGCACGCATCACGATTCCATCATGGATTGATCACGGATCCCATGCGCCACCCCCGGGTCACAAAACGCAAAGTGGGCAGGGCAACACTCCCCTAGGATGCAGCTGCGCCCCACTGCTACAGCATTGGCAGCGCTGTCCAGCTGCGGCTTGCCTGCCAGGTGGTGGAGAAGGCGAGGTTGGAGACGAAAACGCGGCGGCCGATGGCGACCGCCCCGCCGCCGCTGACGCCGCCGCCCCTGCACAACAGGTGCCGCCATGGTGTGGTGGGTTGGATTGCGGATCGCGGCACGCGCAACAGAGGCTGCCCGACAGCGCAGCGCCTGCAGCAGTGCTGGCACATGCTGAACCAGGCAGGGGCAGGCCGCCTGCTCCCGCACATGCACACGCCAACAGCCCCTGCCTCACCCGCGGAACTGCCGCTTGGCGGGTCCGCGGTCGAAGCTGCGCTCGCTGCCGCCGTAGTGGTCGTCGCCACGCAGCTCATAGTCGTCTCGGTCCTCGCTATGAGGAGGAAGCGACAGGAGCCAGGGGGCCACAAACAAGGTGGGCGAGGGGGCAGGTGGGCGGCTTATTAAGTTTGCAGGAGCAAGATTCCGCTTGCCTCCCGGGCTCGCCGGCCCCCATCTGCCTCCCTTTCCCGTTCTCGACCAGGAGCCGAGCCGCACCGGATGAAGATCTTGCGCCCATCCAGCTCTGTGTCGTTGAGCTGCACAATGGCGGCGGCCGCCTCGTCGGGCGTCTCAAACTCCACGATGCCGCAGCCCTTGCTGCGGCTGCCGGGGCCGGCCTCGCGCAGCACGTCGGCGTATCGCACGTTGCCCACAGCCCCAAAGTAGTCTTTGAGGTCCTGCGTGGAAGAGAGGAAGGAGTCCCGGTCAGCAGGAGGGACCAGGGACATGATCTGCACACAAACTTGGGTGGGGCTCCGCAGCCGTGCAGGGTCCTTCCCTGCCCTGCCTTGCCCCAGTTCCCCGCCGCCTTGCCTGCCAGCTCGTGCCCCAGCTGAGGTTGCCCACGTAGATGCGGCGCGCCACCCTGATCTCAACCGTCTCTTCGTGCATGCCGCCGCCGCCGCCGCCGCCGCCGCCGCCGCCGCCGCGCGGCCGCTCGCGCTTGCTCATCGCTACCGCTGCTGTCTGCCTGTGCCCTGCACCGGCAACAGATGCAGACATGGGGAAGGATGAAGAATGGCCACGGTTGAGCCGCCAAACATGCAAAGGGCATTAGCAGCATGCCGTCATTCACTGGTTTGACTGCTGAATTGCTTGCCGCCGCCGCACGCTGCCGCCGCCTGGCGCAGAAAGCTGGCTGCAGGGAGGCCTGCTAGGAGCGCTTGGCTGCCTCAATTGCGATCCAATGGCCAGCTCCACTTGCAACCGGCCTTGATCGTCGCGCCACAGCGAGCCAATCATCGCACCTGAGGATCAGCCTGTGCCGCAGGCCTTACTGTCCTGATGGTGATCTTTAAGCAGGCTACATCCACAGAGCAACCAGCGCAGTCTTCATACAGCGACTCCCCTGCCACGGAGGCAGGAGGAGATGGGGGGTGGATGATGGGAGACTCGGTGCATGCCTGGTGCATTCCCCGCATCGACAGGCCCTGCCGATAGACACGAGAGTTTGCTGGGCTCGTTATCTGCTGCACAGCCCACCTTCAATCACAATTCGCAGCGCAGCGGCGCCTGCGGGCTGGTGTCGGATTGCCCAGGTGTCGTAATCGGTCTGCAACACCCGATGCAGCAGCGGCTGCACGCTGCAGCACAGGCCCGGCTTTTGCCGGGCCTGCACCGCCTGGGCTGTGGCGCCTGCCCGGCCCCAATCCTGGCATTCCGTGTCGGAGCGCAGCGTGTAGACAGCAGCAGCCCGAGGCTGGCGCGGCGCGGCACGGCGCTGGTCACCACCGCCCGCCAGTCGTCGCAGGAGGCGGGCAGCGGCGCCAGCGGCGGCGTGGGCCTCTTCCCGGCCGGCAAGCGCCAGGCTCGCGTGCAGCTGCCCGCCCTCATGCTAGCTGTCACGGCGGCAGACGTGCTGGACCCAGCGCAGGCCGGCGGCGCGCTGGAAGCCCTGAGCGCGGCTGTGGCCGGCGGCGCCACGGCGGTGGTGCTTGCCCAGGGTGCCGACGGCGGCGGCTCTGGCGGCGCGGAGCTGTACGAGGCTGCGGTACGCCTCAAGGAACTGCTGCGCGGGCGAGCCGTGCTGCTCATCGCTGACCGAACCGACATTGTCGATGCGGCGGGGGCGGACGGCGCGCTGCTGACGGGCGCGGGCCTGCCCACCATGGTGGCCAAGCGCATGCTGCAAGACGGCCTGGCCCTGGTAGGGCGCGTGGTGAGCAGCGCCGAGGCGGCGGCAGAGGCGGCCGCAGACGGTGCCAACTTTGTGATTCTGGAGCCGTCCGGCCCGGGGCTAGCTGCTCCCAACTCGGCGGAGGCGGTGGCCTCCCAGCAGCAGCAGCGCAGCAGCGCCAGCATCCCGGTGGTGGCGGCGGTGTCGGGGGAGGCCGGCAGGGACCAGCTGGCGCAGCTGCTGGCGGCAGGCGTGGACGGGCTGGTGGTGCAGCTGGGAGACCTGCAGCCCGTGGCGGCGGCGCTGGCGCGGCGGCAGCCCGCGGGCGCCGGCGAGGCCGCCGCAGCCGTCATGCAGCAGCTGGCCGGCGGCGTGGCCCCGCCTGCAGCCTCTCTACCAGCCGACGCGGCAGCTGCCGCGGCGGGGCCGCCCCAGGCGGTACAGCAGGCGGTACAGCTGTCCCAGCTGCTCAGCACCAGCAGGGAGGAGCTGGTGGATGCCGAGCGCCAGCTGTTCACAGAGGCAAGCCCTGCTGCTGCTGTGGCAAGGCCGTTGCCGCTGCTGCGGCACGGCTGCTGCGGCGCCTGGCGCCCGCCCTGCGCGCTGCTGCCGCGCTATTCCGCACTGCGCCTTGCTGCGCCGCTGCCCTGCGCTCCACATTCACACGCGCATACACAACCGACCACGCCTAGCCAACCCTCCTGGCGTGCAGGTGCTGGCCTTCTTGGAGCGCTGGTGTCCTCAGATGGGGGAGGCGCAGCTGCTGCGGGACGCCGTCAAGCAGCTGGACGAGCTCTTCCTGCTGGTGGTGCTGGGCGAGTTCAACAGCGGTGAGCCTGGCAATGGTGGTGGTGGTGGTGTGTGGTGGGGCGGGGTGGGACGGGCTGTGGGGCTTCAGCAGCGACCCGGTCAGGTGATGCTGGGTAGACAGCAGGTCGACAGGTGATGCCTGGGTGGCTGTGGTGCCACGCGTGCACGCGCGCCAGCCCCGCCTCAACGCCTGTTCCTCCCGCGCGCCCCCCGCAGGCAAGTCTGCGGTCGTGAATGCCCTGCTGGGCCAGCGCTACCTTGCGGAGGGCATCCTGCCCACCACCAACGAAATCAACGTGCTGAAGCATGCCGATCCCGAGCACGTGCAGACGGCGGCGCAGGTGCGCTGCGATGGTTTGGCGTGGTGGTGTGGTGGTGGTGGTGGTGGTGGTGGTGGTGGTGGTGGTGGTGTGTTCTGCAGTGTGTGGCGGGCACGCGCATGCGAGCGCGAGTGGTTGCTGCGTGTAGGGACGTGGGAGAGGAGTCGTGCCGCGCGGGGCCCTCCCCGTCGTTCCGTCATCCCTGCCCGCCTGCCTACCTGCCTGCCTGCCCCACGTGTCCGCACCCACATGTGCAGGACGGCGACGGCGTGTTCACGCGCTACCTCCCCGCGGAGCTGCTGCGGGAGGTGAATGTGGTGGACACGCCCGGCACCAACGTCATCCTGGGGCGCCAGCAGCGGCTGACCGAGGAGTATGTGCCGCGGGCGGACCTGGTGAGCGGCAGGCTCCTGGGCTTCAAGCCAGGAGATGCATGGGATCTAGACCAGCCGGTGCTGGGCTGCGGCAGCCTGTCCGTGTGGGGGAGCCAGGGCTGGGGCAGGATGGGGATGGAGTAGCTCTTGCTTGGGCTGGGCTGGGCTGGGCTGGCAGCCGTCGTGCACACTCCGCTGCCAATACCCGCTGCTCCTTCTCCCGCCTTGTGCCGCCTTTGCAGGTGCTCTTTGTGCTCAGCGCCGACCGGCCGCTGACGGAGAGCGAGGTCCGCTTCCTGCAGTATGTGCGGCAGTGGGGCAAGAAGGTGGTGTTTGTGGTGAACAAGGTGAGGGCTGCTGCGGGCTGCTGGGAGGCACTGCGGGGTGTGCTGGGCTGGCGCGAGCTGCGGCCCATCTGCACTGCGCCATCTGTAGGGCTGGTGCGGTACGCCTTGGGCCGCTGCCAGCTGCCTCGTCATCTGGCGGCCTCGGCCTCGGCACCCCCCGTGCTGAAGGGCCGCAGCCCACCTGCCGTCACGTGCTGCTCCTTGTGCGCCGCGTGCCGCCCCCCGCAGACCGACATCCTGAGCTCGGCGGCCGAGGTGGCGGAGGTGGTGTCGTTTGTGCGCAGCAACGCGGCCCGGGTGCTGGGCGTGGATGAGCCGCAAGTGCTGGCGGTCAGGTGAGGGCCTGGGCATGGGGCGGCGGGGGGATGGAAAGCGGGGAGGAAAGCGGGGAGCATGGCGTGGTGACGGCAGGCAGAACGGAGCGGTGCTTTGGGCGTATTGGCAGCGCGGCCCTGCTTCCTGCGTTCAGCGGTTTGCCGTACTGCTTTGCCACCATGCTGTGCATGCTGAGTCGGCATGGGGCTGCGCTGTGCTGTGCCCGCCGTGCAGCGCGCGGGCGGCCATGCAGGCCAAGCTCGAGGTGCTCGGGGACGGCAGCAACGGCAACGGCAAGCTGTCGGGCGAGCAGGCGGCGGCGCTGGCGGCGCACCCGGCCTGGCAGCGCAGCGGCTTCGAGCCGCTCGAGCGCTTCATCTTTGAGTTCCTCACAGGCGGCAACCCAGCTGCTGCTGCCGCGGCGACGGCGGGCAGCAACGGCACGGCGCGAGGCGGCGGCGAGGGCAGGCAGGCTGGCGCGGAGAGCGTGCGGCTAAAGCTGGAGGTGAGAGGAGTGGAGGAGGTTGGGGGTGGTTGGCTTGGTCAGCTGCCACCTGGTCCCCGCCGGCCACCCATACTATCCCTGCTGGCCAACCGCTGACTTCACTGCCTGCCTCCCGTACCCCGGGCTCTGCTGCTCGCCTGCAGTCTCCCCTGTTTGTGGCGGACGCGCTGCTGGGAGCGGCGGCGCAGCAGCTGGAGCAGGAGCTGGCTGTGGCGCAGCAGGATGCTGCCAGCGTGTCAATTGTGCGCAGCCAGCTGGCGGCCTTCCGACGGGAGATGGAGAAGGAGGGGCAGCTGCAGGTGGGTGTTTTGCTCTGCTTTCTTTCTTTCTGCTGCTGATGGGGTGCGTGGGGGCCTGGGAGTTGCTGCAGGGCAAAATGCAGCGAGTGTTTGGTCGTGCTGTGGACAGAGGTGAAGGGGTGGCGCTGCCCAGCTGGGTTTAAGGGTGGCATTTGCAAACCCTGGCTGCACACGCCACTCCCCTGCCCACACACCCTGCAGCGCGACGAGGTGCAGCGGCAGGTGGCCGGCACCGCCAAGAAGGCGGCCGCCATCGTGGACTCCATGCTGCAGGCACGCTGCCACGCTGTGCTGTGCCACGATGTGCATGCTGTGCTGTGCTGTGCTGTTCATGCTGTATTGCATCGTGCTGTGCTGCCCGCTGCTCTGCGCTGCGCTTTGGCGCCTGCCAACACACTGCAACACACCCGCCTCTCTACACGCCGACCCCGCCTGCTCCCCCCCGCCTGCAGCTGTCCAACATGGAAGTCATCACCTCCTACCTCTTCGGCCGTGCAGACGACAAGCGCGCTCTGCCGGTGGCCGCCAAGTTTGACGAGGAGATGGCGGGTGCGTTTGCTTGGCGGTGGCGGTGGCGGAAGGAGGAAGGGACGGCATGGTGTGTGTGTGTGTGTGTGTGTGTGTGGCGTTGGGGAGTGCGCGTGCCAGTGTTTGAATGGCAGGGAGGCGGGCACACAGCACGCCTAGGGCAACGAGTAGGGCAGGATGAGGTCTGGGCTGCGGGCCGCCGTGTTCGTGGTTGCTCTGCTGCTTCTATGCGTGCGCCCACTGTGCAACCCTCCTGGTTTGGTGCCCGCCCTGCAGCCGAGGCCACCGCGGGGCTGACGGGCCTCGTGAAGGAGCACTCCGCCTGGCTGGCCTCCAACTGCCAGCGCCAGCTGGCCAACTACAGGCATGCACCCACCCCCTGCGCTGTGCTGGACGTGCCGCCCATCTCTCGGCTTGCGCTTGCGCGCCGCGTCCACCTGTGACCCGCACCCTCGGCCTGCCGCCTCCCGCCACTGGGTTCTGCTGATCCACCAGCCCCGCGCCTGCCTCCGCAGGACGTTTGCGGAGCAGCGTGCGGCGGCTCTGGACGAGACGCTGGATGGGCTGCTCAGCACAGAGCTGGAGGGCCTGGACTCTGATGCCGGCGCCCGCAGGTGAGGGTGGAGATGAGACTGCGTGGGCTGGGTTAGTAGGATTGGTGGGCTAGTGAGATTGGTTGGCTAGTGAGGGGCGGGGTAGGCCGGGATGGGTGCCACCCGCATATCCTGCCACGCCCGGAGGTGCCAGCCTGCCCCGCGTGCTCGTGCCCTGCTGGCACGCCTGCAGGCGGTGGCGGGAGATGCGACAGCTGACGACGGAGGCTGAGGTGGCGGCTGCAGACGGCGGCCCGCCGCCGGATGCTGAGGCAGCGCTGGTGGCAGTGGCGAAGCTCGACCCCAAGACCACAGGCGAGCTCGGCGCTTTGAGAGGGCCCTGGTGCTCAACACCCTGCTCTCCATCCACTCGCCACACACAAACAAATGCACACCATCGCGCGTCTCCTATCCCTTCTGTGTCTGAATCTGCCCCTCTGCTCCCCCTGCAGAGGTGATGCTGGAGGAGGAGGTGCGGGAGGCGGTGATCAGCACAGCAGGCACAGCAGCAGGTGCGCCACGCGGTCGACGGCCGCTCACCCGCCCTTCCTGCCCTGCTGCCGTGCCTCTGCCAGAGCAAGGCGCCCTCCCCCAGGCCCCCACGCCGCCCACCTTTCCCCTGCTGTTGCCTGCCACTCGTTTCGGCCCCCCGTTTTCCCAGCTGTGTCATCTTCCTCCACCGCCTGCCTGCCTGCAGGCGCGGCGGGCTTTGGCGTGCTGCTCACCGCCATCCTGCCCACCACAGTGGAGGACCTGCTGGCCTTGTGCCTGGCGGCCATGGTCGGGTATGTGTCCATCCTCAACCTCCCCATGCGCCGCGCCGAGGCCAAGCGCAAGCTGGAGCACACGACCACCGCGTTTGCGCAGGTGCGGCCGCCGCGGCCTGGGCGCTTTGCGGGGTGGCGTGTGCATGTTGTGGTGGTAGTGGTAGTGGGTTGTGTGCGTGTGGGTGTGGGTGTGTGGTGGGGGGGGGGGGGAATT